CAAAGGATTTTTAGATGATCATCTCAGGCCCTTTTCCACTACCAGCTTGAAGTAGAAATAATTGCGAAAAATCACACTGCCTTCAGTAATCTTTCTTTTGGATGATGTTTACCATCCAGCCGTCTATGGCACGCACTTTTCAGCGTCACAACCATCAAATTTATTTAGGTTTTATCATTGGAAGGCATCGCTTTGAAGGTCATGCTCATTTCCCTTCCCTGCCGCCAGATTGACTCTTGAGCTACCAAACTCGACGTCTGCGCGACTGTCTGGTTTGGTAGGTAGGACGATAAACCTACCAAAGCAGCTTAGAAATCTACGCGTTATTTTTGAGGCTGGTACTTCCCGCCTCTCCTTTAATTGCGACAGATGTACTGACAACTCGCTCTACCGCTATGTAATTTCACGTTTTGTTTTTCTTTTCCATGCTACACAGACCTTGTTACTAGCGCAGAAAGGATTTTATGGTACTTCGACTCACCTTTCGTCTTTTCCTACTATTCTTGCTTTAAAGCAAACTTGTTAAGTCCCGCTACTCCCCTGAGTCTCCTACTTAACTTAGGGTTTTTCGAGTGTTTTAGAATTTATTTCACTTGTGTAAAAATTTTTCCTCTCAAATCGATCAGGAAGTTTCATTGTTAGTTAAAGTGCCATATTTCCTGTCACTTCACATGTTTTGTAGACTGCGATACCTGAATTGCCTCTGATTTCTATAATTTCGACCCTCTGAACTTTCAGCTGCGCACATTTTGTTCTTTATAATATTTTGATTTCTGTTTGTTAGAAGGTACACCCTGAGGGTAGTTTCAGTTCTCCCAAATTTTGCAACATCATTCAGGTTGACTGGTTTTGGTGTCATTGCTATAATAAGGGGCGCGCTCACAATGCATTGAAACGCCTCATTTTACTTATCAAAAATGGTGCTAATTTTAATTAAGGTGACGAAGTGATGTCGCGCCTACGGCGTCTCACACCGTCTGCGTTGGACATCGAGATGCGTCTTCTAGCTCCTTCCAGGGATGCGTTGGTGGAGGCCTTAGCCGCAATTGACTATAGCAATGGTGGAGGTGTCTCGCTTTCTTTCAATCCCTACGCTCGTCTCTCGGCTTTTCTCAGCCTCCTTCTTAACAGGTAGGGTGCCTTTGAATTTGCACCGTTCTTGGACAAGTTCACTATTTTGCCCCTCCTAGTAGGATTTTGGCTGTGGTTACTCACCGAAAGCTTAAATTGCACACTTTTTTGCCTAGCATTTGCCTGCCTTCGCTTCAGCGCGTTCCTTTTCCATGGTGAGACAGGGCTAGTAAAATATTTATGACAAAATACGTTCTTCAAGAAGTTACGTCGTCAAATCGGACAATGTTAGACACCTGATGTTGTAAATTTCCGAATACTAAGGCAGTCTCAATCCATACCTAGCCTTTGGCGTCCGGTGTGTTTTCTGGTCCTCTTTATCCCAGTCCTCTTCCAATTTCTAATGTTTCGAGTGGCATGAAGTCGGGCATATATTTACTTCTACTTTGTTTACAATATCCTTGGGCCTGAGCGCTTGTTGCTGTTGTCGCCTTATCAGTGTTTGCGAAACCTAAGCAACGGGTCTGCATTAAGCAAATGTGATCTCGCAGTGATTGTTTATTCCACCCCTGGGGATATCAAAAGCCAAGGATTAGTCGTTGCAGCTCGCTCTTTCCCGCCGTCAAAATGATTTAATGGGCGAGCATTTCTTGCTTGTGATGTTATCTGGAAATCGCGCGGATTAATTGACTTTTCTTGTTTAATTGTTGGGATTTCGAATTGTCCTTGATCAGTTGTTTGTTTTTTTTTCTCCTCTTTTATTGCTTTGTCCTTTTTTCCACCTGAGGTGAATGTCAGTATCGATGCCTGCAGGAGTGGTGGGTGACACATTGAAGGGAACCGCCTTAACGCAGGTCACTCTGGTAATATCATTTGAAGTGGTTTTGAATCGTGAATTTATTTGCTCCACCAATTTTGCAATGTACCAGTCGTGTATTTACTCTTTTGATCTTCAACGTAAGTCGAAGAACACGGGTTTTCATCAGCCTCAAGGCATCTCAACAAAGTTAGTGATTTTATCCGGCAATCTCGTTATTCCGAAATTCACTTGAACGAATAGAGTAGCCCATTACATAATAACCGTTATTTGGAACTGTTTTCTGCTTACTTCTCCGTTTTGTTTTCAAAGTTGTCCCTTTCTATACCATCGAGATGGAATTTGTTTTCTTTTCAAATCCCTGACCAATCGCAATTAGTCGCCCTATCTCCCTCTTCTCCAACGAATTCTGTTTGTTTCAGCGGAAATTCGTTTTTTGCCTACTGAGCTTTGAGAGTTGGGTGGAGTCAAAGTTAGGTGCATGACCGCTGGTTGAATTTGTGCATTCAATCCAACAAAGTAATGCATATCTTAAGGTTTCTCGGGCTTGACTGATGTTGCGCCTATTCAAAAGAGACAGCGTCATAATAATGACTTTTCTAGCTAAGCAATTGCAGCTTTACGTTTTCTTCCATAAAGTGACCGGTCAGTTTCGTTCTTTGATACAATCAACATCTTCGTTCACTTTTTTTTTCCCTTCGTTCTACTGGTATTTGCGTCTCTTTGCTTCGGTAACTCTGTCATGCCTACTGTACTCATCAAATACAGGCCTATTTTCCACTTCTTCAGGAGTTCCACTTGGGAGCGCTTGATGCATTATTGCTTCCCAATTGGACCTCCATTCGAGTGTTTTGACGACAATTTTTGATGGCTTGGTAATTTGTCTTGTCTGAATGGCCTTCATGGTCACTCCTCTGTGCTAAATCAGTCGCTCATTTGGTTTGGTGCGAGTTGCCTCATTACTTGAGGTGAGAAATGGAAATGCAGCTCTCTGATTGCAGTGATAATTGCCTTTAAGCACTCGGGGTGGATTTGACGGGAATCCGCTCTGATGGCGTATCGCACGTCGCCTGTACATCGTTTCAGAACTATAATTCAGTGTGTATCGTGTTCACCAAATTACCCTCTTGTTCTACTAAAATGCTAGTTCTCAGTGGTCAAAGGAAAATTGTAGAGCATTCTCGGGATCGCTGGGCTTCAAATTTGTTGCTACACTTGAGTCCCTTTTTGATTTGGCAAGTGGTTGAGCCTTCGTCACTTTATGTCACTCCTTTCTCATTTTTGCCTTTGGAGATTGCAAGTGTTTCCTTGTGAAATGTCATCGCAAACTCTTCCCTCTCGTATCAAAGGAAAAGTCAGTTTCATGTCCCCTTTCACAAAAACGTTGCTGTTTAGCACTCGAGCACTAGCAAAGGGCAACCTGAATCACCTATTAACAGGAGACATTCAGACACCTATATGTATCGTGTTTGCCCCTTCAAAGCCGTTGAAAAGAAATGCTTTACAGTTTTCAGTGCTTTCTACCGATGAAAGGGTGAATTGGAATAGGCGAATAGAACCTTCTCGATGTGCTATGAAGTTGCCTTTGAAATAGTAGGTGATTTTAAAAGTCATTTTAATGATTCCACCTCAAGGCTAGGATGAGGATAAGGCTTTTTTTGTAAATGGAATGAAAATAAAGGCATAACACTGTCCTATTCTGGGCATTGACAGAGAGGCTGGAAGAAGGAGGAGTATGGCTCCGTATTTACAACAGCACAAAGGCATCGCCTTTGAAAAGTGAAATTTTATGAGGAGTCACTGGATTCTGGGCTGCTTGTGTTAAAGTAGGATTCAAACGGTCGCGACCGGGGCCACAAGACGCGAAGAAAATCTCGAAATAATTTCCAAAAATCAGATTTGCACCTCAGAGGGGAAGAGGAAGGGCTTCTGTATGGCTGGTTTGATTGGCTGATGAGAGCGGGCACATTGGAAGGCATGACGTTCGCCTATTTGACCGAAACTGACTGTCGAAGGTGTCCTGGTGTTCAATTTCCATATGTTGTTGGCATTTTGGTGGGCGCTTACTTTTTTGTGGTTAGTGACACCTAAAGTCCACCTCTTTGTGATGCTGAACAATCAAATAAAGCGATCGCTAGTGTGAACTTCCACATCTTTCAGTGATCCTTGGTTATTAGACGAAGGAAGGAATGTTTGAACAATGGCTGTGTCAATTGTGTACGAAAACGCAATTTTTAATTTGATTTTGGAGTTGCAAAGGTGATATGTTTTACAATGGGCCAGTCGGACTGAGACCAATTGCCATCAGTCGGACAGACTTTATGGTGCGCAACGATTGCGCTTCCTCTGTAGTGTTGGCTGGGAGCGCTTTGACCAAGTTCAAATCCTCCCTTCAGTCGCTCATTTTGGCTTACAGACAGTGCTCCTGTCCTGTGCGAGAAGCGAAATATGTAGTTGTGCCACCCTTTTCCCACTGACTTTATTGCAAATCTCGATTCCATGTTAATGTTTGGATCAAAGGGGCTTGTTTCACCGTCCCCTCACTTTCATTTACTGATCTTATCTGTATGTGAAATAAAAAAAAATAAAATAAATTTTAGAAGTTGTATTCATCCTTCTCCGGTTTTGAGTGCTTGTCTTAGTGTTCTACACGCCTCGTGAGAGTGTGAGGGAATAGTTGGTAACGATGAACCATCTAGACGACCTGATTTGCCTTACCATCTGTGCAGAAGGCCGTCATCACATCTATGATTAGGAACTGTTTTTAAGCATGAACATTCGCGTCTCCATGGCTAGTTTCAGCTCGAGTACTTTCACGGCGAATTATAGGAGGCCAGACTTTCCTTGAGCTCACTTTGCGGAGCATTGGTTACCTTGAGGAGGTGTGAAAGCAAAACTACACAGGTGAGAATGACAAAGGGTGGCGAACCCACCTCCTCTGTGGGCGATTTTCCTGCTTTTATCCTGTGCAGGAAAATTCGCCATGCGCTTCATGACGTTGAATAGCTAATTGTCTCCTCCGGACAGATCGGCCAGTGGCAGGTGGAACCAGACTCACTCACTTCTTACTACTACATGTAGCACCTTTACGGTCAACCTCAAATTTGGTCCGGGTGCTTTGTGTTGCTGTTTTTGTAGCAAATTACGCATTGACGACAAGCCTGAATAGCACCTCACCCTTACTTTCACCGGAGACTAATTTTGAGTTAGAAGTTATTAGAGGTACAATGTTTGCTCAAACCATAGCAGCAACAAATAAGTTCTCTACTGATTAGCTTTTTTGGAATTCGTTCCTACCTTTTTTGGTTGAAGCGTCCTTTGCAGTGTCATTCACATTGAGGCGGATCGAGCTGCTGAAAATTTTGAATGTCGTCAGACTTTTTAACTTAGCTCACTCCTTACGGTGGGCATCACTTTGGAGAGCGATATTTTGCGTAGGAAATAGTCACTTACCACAGTTGCCACTATTGTCACCTTTATGTGGCACTTCATTTTTTCACCCTCTGCTCAGCCACAAATGCGTGATGGGTTATTCGCTGGTTTGTGTCAGTGAGGCAATTGAGTTCCCAACTTTGACGTAAATGCGAACGATTTCTGAACTCGAGGAGGCGGTCACATCTGTTCCTAATCAAATTGACCGATGGAATGTTCAAACTGTGTTGATTTGGTGCTGACTCGTTGTCTCACACTCTTTAGAGAACATTTTGACTTTTGAGTGGTATGAAAGTGTGTGTGGGTGTGGGTGTGTATCTTTCCGTCTTTCAAATCTGACAGATTAGAAGCAGTCATTTAGACTTTAGCCTCACTCACCGAACGTTCAGCCTCCCACGTCGAAACAGATCGTCCTTTATCTCCATTATGCAAAGACTGTAGGGGTGGGGGAAGGGGAAGGGAGGAGAAAGCGAGTCGATTCATGCATGCTTTTCGTGAGTCTTCTAAGTGTTACTTCACTTCGTTGTGACATTGAGGTGGACTTCCTGTCATTTTTCCATTCTCTTCTATCAATATTGTGCTGGTTGGTTGTTCTATTTGGCCTTCATTTTTTGCTCACTTAATTGCAAGGCAAATGCTTATAAGGCAACACTGTTAGAGGCAATGGGTTATTAAATTCTTCATTTTATGCATAGTCTTTGCTCCAAAAACAAAACAATGGTTTCATTTTTGTAACACTGCCCAGTAATTAGTTGAGGTACAAATGAAATGCTTTAGTTTGGATTAGCAAGGCTTTGGGATTCATTTCAAGGCCTCTCTAAAGTCTTCTGTTTCGTTGGGATCCAGCGAATTTATTCTATTCTTCCGACTCGATGGCTACATTTTAATTTTAAATTCAATTAGCCCATCGTCCGATCACTCATTCGTCGTGGGGGTGCGGTTTCGGCATTGGAAATGAAGGGGAATCTCTTATTCCCCTTTTCAACCAATCTTTCTATTTTGAGACGACTTAGCTAGGCAATATGGGGTTGGCATCGTGTTTGCTCTTTTCGTTTGTAGGGAATGGTAAGTTCTCGCACTTTTTAGTAGTTTCGGATTAGAGAATCATCTAAGATGAAGCACCAAACTGCTTTATTTTCGCTTTTGCAAGAATCCTGGTGCTGGTTATTGCCTTTATTTACCGAACCGGTTTTTCTGTGAAACACTTGGATCACCTGATTAAGACAAATATCCGCTCACCTTCCCACCACGTATACCCTCCCCTGCCAGCCCGAAGTCTTTGGTCTACGGAAGTGATTAATCAACTACCCAGGCAACACTCATCCCTCTCGCAGTGCTTGAAGTGGCTCCCTCAGGTCAAATACATATAAGGGAAAAATTATGCCCTCTGAGAGGTGGATGTGGCCTTTTGGATGAAGTGAAGGCCAGCGGTATTGGGCAATTTGCTTGAAACCGCCAAACCACTTGATTAACCAAGTAAGCAGTCGGTGACGCTTGGATGTTGACCGCAGGAGGGAAGGTACTTTTCTGCCTGAAAAAATGAAGAGGATGGGAAGAGTGTTGGCTTGAAGTCGTTGTTTAGAGATGGGTCAATAGAAATTGTATGTGGAGCGTCAAATGCACTACAAGTCATTTCATTGGTTGGTTGAAAAGTAGGTGATTTTTTTTAGCAGCAAAATGAAGCGTCAAGTGCAATCTTCCAAAGATTTTGTCCCTGTCGCTTAATCTCATCTCGCCTGGAAGTCCAGGTGCCTCCCCGATTTCTTGCTCGTCGCTTGGCTAATGAAACGGTATTTTAGCAGCTCCAGCTGTCCAGCTAGCCATTTCGCAAGCATCTGTTCCCTTGTTTTGCTGAAACCATGCTTGAACTAGATGTCTCTCATTCACTCGATTTGTCCTTTTGCAACATCCTATTTGTTTGTAGGACTTTAGGCGAAATCTGAGAATCATAACCCTTCTAGTTCCCTAATCACTGTCAAGCCGCATACGATGGCATTTAGACCTCTGGTGTTTTTGGTCTTGATTCTTCACCATCTACCCTGAAATGGATCTTAGCTGTGAATGCTGCCTCATCCATTAGCCAATGCGTTAATTCTTTGTCCAGATTTCGACGAAACCTAGACTTTGACCTGGCAACAGCTTGTCTGGAGGGTCTCCTTCGTTACCATGGCGAATTAATAGCTCGACCTCCCAAAGCTCCTACCTCGATCCCCACCAAACCATTCAGCGCTGACCAAGACGACAGTGGTGATGCTGGCTCCTTCTGCCTTGGCGACATGGTAGCAGCGGAGACCGGTTGCCGCAACGATCATTTGGATGCTGATCGACCGTTGGAATTGATGGAGGCGGTGTTAGAAGCGAAACGAGC